TTATATAAGGTTCAGTACTATCTACAGTTTCAGACATCCACTGACTGGGAGCCTTGGTATCTTTGTGAATGAGGAAGGACTACTGTATTTATTTTAACAAAAACAACTAAGGTAGTATTTATAGGAGGCAGTCTAATGTATCATTTAAAATACATTCTCAAAAATAGCTCCATGGCTGCAGAAAAGATGCTATACTGTACTAACTCAAATGTGGAAGAAAATGAGACAAGGGTAAATTCCTGATCTGCCAGGTGATAAAAATCAGAAACACTTTTTCTTTTCTATACTTCGGAGAACACTAAGTGGATGGGTGTAGGGAGGAATTAGGTTCACTATACTGGTTCAGGAAGGAAGCAATATCACAACCATTCATCAAACACTAAGCACCTAGTGTGTGTCAGGTACTACTGTACGCATGGAGCAGAGTGAGCAAAACAAGACAAAAACCCTGCCCTCCACATTCTAGTGGTGGGACAAAACCAAAGACAAACCAACCAACTAACAAATAAGATATACAGTGTGTCAGACTGTGGAAAGTGCTATGGAGAAAACAAAAGCCAGTCAAGATGACAGGGAGCAGTGGGGTGGCAGTGGGGGTCAGGGAAGGCCTCCATGACAAGCCAGAACTGAGGCCTACAGGGGGTGGGGGTGAGCCAGTGGGTCCCGGGGTCGGGGGGAGAGTGACCCAGGTGTGAACCAGGAATGACACCTACCACCACAGACCTTTCGTAGAACAGTAAAAGGTTAGGAGCAAGTGTCCTAGGATTAAGACTTTCTGGGTCCAAATCCTAGCTTGGTACTTACAAGTTATGCAGCCCAGGATAAGCTACTTAACTTCTCTGGGCTGGGCTTCAGTATCCTCAAATGTAAAATGGGAGCAATAATAGTAATTAGTTTATAAATTTCAGGGATTAAATCTGTTACAATACCTAACACACAGAACCTAATCCAAAAACTGTTAGATACTGTTAATAATTTATACCCCTTTAGGAGTGTTGCATTATCAGAAATTAGCAAGTGCCTACTGAGTACAAAGAATTCCAGCTGAGGCTTCAGCAAAAGCTAAAACATGCCAAGTATAGAGAAATAGGCTTCCAAATTCCTAAAACAAGTCAACTCCCAAAATGCAGATCATCCAATGTGACACAGCTTATACGGTTTCAGATGATCGACCATCACAGAATAAATCTTAACAGCTTTCACTCCAGTGAAAGTTCCTTTACTGGCTTTTACCAGAATCCAGAAATCAGAAATGAGGATGTTTACTCACACTTTAGAGTGCTGGCACCCATTGCTAATATTTTCCCCAAGAATCACCCAACTGGCAACTTCCTCACTGCTTTGTCTTATTCCTAGAAGTAGCTGCGCCTGCATTCAGACAATCTGACAATGAAAGAAATCCATTCTCTCTTACACAAGAGTGCTTGAAGGTGTTTTTCATTTCTTAAGGACCTTAAAGGGCCAGATGAATTGGGGTTGTCAAGTTTCAACCCACCTGATCTAATTTTGTTAATTTTGACGCGCATTCTTCATCAACACGTAACAAGTTTTATAATTCTTATAACTGACAACATAATTCCACTTTGGAGAACACATCCAAGGAACTTAGTGCTCCCTTTTCCCCCTTACCCCTTCCTCTACCAGAGTAATTTGCACAGAGTGATTCACAGCAGTGTTGTTACTAAAACAGTAACAAACGGAGCCCACCTAAGTGTCCATCACTCATTGAACGATTGAGCAAATAACAGTGTCTCACAACTTGAGGAAAACCTATGTGTGTAGCCAACAATAAAACAAAAATAACACCAGAAATCATTTTCTGAGTCCTAACTATCAATGAAATAAGATGCTGGAGGCTTTTATATATATATAATCTCATTGAAAACTTTCTGAGATACACAGGTAACCACTCTGGACCTCGGTTTTCTCATCTGTAAAATGGAGCACTACTACAGCACCCAAATCAAAAGGTTGTTGTCAGGATTTAACTAGTTATGACATCAAAAGTATTAACAGTAGTTCTTGGCACCCAATAATAAATGCTATTTTCTCTTGCCATGAGCCACGGACTTCAGTCACATCAATCTACTGCTTCTGCCCCTAAGCAAGCCATGTTCTTTCACACCCTCCTTGCCTCTTCCATACGTGTTGTTTTTGAAGTCTACCACTGACTCACTGTGACTGCATGGTTATTAACGTGAAGTTCCTTAGAGCAGAAATTCTACCCTCAGTTCTTTAGGGTATGGGATGCTGATTCACTTGATACATGTTAAATCAGGATCACTGCCTAAAAGTGGCCATTTTAATAGTTTGTACTTACATAGCAAAGTTCAAGGTGACCCTTTAAAATTCATTTGGTTCCTTTCCTGGTCACTTAAATGCTGACTTCCAAGAATAACTAAAGGATTAGAAAGCTTTCTCCTCCCTAGTTGTGCAGGCTCCATCCTCCACCTACTCCTTTCTCACCCAACATTTTAAGTAATGCTGCCATAAACACTGACCCCAGGGCAGTCAAAGTGGTCCTTAAATACTACATTAAACATAGGGGTTATTATTGCTACTAGTAATACCAATAGATCTTGCCTCTGCCTGAGTAATAACTGGCAGGAACTTGTCCAATAACATGCAGCAACGCTGTTTTCTCTGTTCCTTCCCCACCCTCTCCCAAGAGAAATGTTGAAATTCGCAGGTTAGGGATCACATGTAATCTCTCAACTGAAAAAAGAAGGAAAATTTCAAAGTTATTAATAAAAATGAGACTGGTGGACAATCTAAGTTTTGGAATATTCTGAGGGTTGGGAGATTTGGGTGGTTTGCTGGAGGGACAGAATCCAATCGAATCTAGGATATAGAGTTCTCAGAAGCCTAGGAAAGTCAGGGGAATTGCCTTTCAACACACCGCCTGGGGCAAGTCTCATACCTATGAAAGAGATCTACCTGCAGGACCTAGGTCCTCTTCTACCTTCACTAGTCTAGTTACAGCAAAAATGGTAAGATTGGTAGCAGCTTCAAGGCTAATTTAAGAAAGTCTGCGAACAGGTGAAAGCAGTTATGTCATTTGATAAACTTCTTTAGTCCATGTTCAGAATTTATAGAGAACTCCCAGAATCCACCCGTCAGTATGCTGATATTGACTACAAGGGAAAAAACGGGGGAGTGGTAGTGGCGTGGGCAAAACAGAGAACGGTCCTGCATCTTCTCCCACAAAGTCAATGCTTCATAAAAGGCTTCCTTCTGTTACATCCTTTTTCACAGGGATGGAACCACGCTAAAAAAGTGGCTGCCTTTTCCCACACATTGCCCATAGGCCCACCCATTCTGGCACATAGCCACATCACTCTTTGCCCCTCCGCCTTTTGCTGGAAGGCAGGGATGCTGCCAGGGGAAGCTGGAAGCAACCAGACTCAGGTTATTTCACTGCCTTTCTCTCTGGTGTTGCAGTTATAGCTGTAGCTGTGCTTGATGAATTTTGAGAAGACTGAAGAACAAGACCTCAAAGGTCACTTACAGCATTAAATTTCCATGAACTCTTATCTGTACTGGGATTCAGAGAATAAGTAAACTGCTTTTGCAATATTTTGAGCACCAGGTTCTTTGACTCACACTTAAAAATTGGGAAAGAGGATATTTATTTAAGACAGTGGTTTTCAAACTTAAAGAAGCAGACTACTTTTTTTGCAAATGTGCTCTTACATGGAACCTTACTATATTCAACAGATAAACGTGGCACTACTCTGGCTGCAGCTGGGGTGAGGGGCCTATTCTCTCAGTTTCCCCCTTGCCCTTCAGAGGAGCCTCTGACATCCTTGTGGAACACAATTAAAGGAGGTTAACATTTAGACACATAAGTAAACAAATAAATGAATGAGGAAGAAGAGAAAGCTTTTCCTTAATGTGGAGGAAGAAGTGGAGTTGCAAAATCACCACTTTGTAACCATCATCTTAAAGACTGTTTCGAGCAAGAATAATCAATGGATTATTATTTAATCAAGAGGGAAAGTCTGATTAGAAGGATATTTACATGATCTTCCTGCAAACGGATTGCACAGAAGGAAGAAAACACTATCTATACGAGGGCAAACATTACTTGCTTGTAGACTTCAAAAATGCACAAGTCATGTAAGGCAAGGAAAGGCTGAAGAGGCGCTCCAGATTAAAAGCTACGAGACATACAGCAACTAAATACAGTATGATTCCTGACACGGTCACATACTTGAGGAAAAACATGCCATAAAGGGTGTTGGGACAAGTGACATTTGAAATGTGGATAGTAAATTTGATACAAGCATTGTATCGGTGTTTAATTTCCTGAACTTGATAACTGTACTGTGGTTATGTAAGAGAATGTCTTTATTCTCAGGAAACAAACTGAAGTGCAGTATATGGCCTGAAGGGGACATGGTATGTGCAACCTACTCTCAAATAGCTCAGAAAAAAATAACAGTGTATTTACATATACAGAGAAAGCAGTGGTTCTCAAAGTGGGATCCCTGGAGGAGCATCAGCATCCCTGCAGAACTTGTTAGAAACACAAATTCTTAGGCCCCAGCTCACAGCTTCTAAATCAGCTATTGGACCTTCTAAACCTGGAGTCTGTGTTTTAACCTGGGTCTTACAGGTCGTTCAGATACATACTGAAGTTTGAAAACCACTGATACAGAGAGAATGAGTAAACAAATGTAGTGAAATGTTAAAATTGGTGAATTTGGGGAAAGGATATATAGGAGTCTTCTGTATTATTCTTGAAACTTTTCTGTAAATCTGAAATGGTTTCAAAATAAAAATTAACAATACAGCAAAATTACCCCAGGACAGTAAGTATAGAGATGTGGAGAAGAGACCTTGGACATAGGGAGGCATGTCAGGAGGGAGTGTAGGATCAATGGATTTACAACTAAGACTGTTGCGACTCCAAGGCAAAGTGAGGAGCAGGATATGTGCACAGTCTTCAGATAACAAATCTCCTGCTTGCAGAGTCTTTGGGCATCAACTATACTAACCTGAATAGGAGAGTCCAGCAATCTCTATAAAGAGGTCTTCTTCAGAAAAGCTTTCAGGGAGCATGAGGAAAGCAGCAGTCACAGCACTCCTCAGATTTTTATCAAGGGCTGATCTAAGAATGACATTCTCATTCATCGCTACAATTTTCACCTGAAAGAAGCAGAACATTTGGAAGAAAAATTCTAGAAGCGGAGTATTGCTCAAGCCATGGATTTACATGTACACTGGAACTGTCCCAAACTCTTACACTGAAGATACTGAAATACTAGTTCAGTTGACACAAAATAATTATTCTAATAAGCAATCCCAGAATCTCCTGTTCTATGCAAAAGTCACAGAAATCATGACATGGAAAGGACCAAAATGCCAAAGAAAACATAATAAATATTCCTCTTAAATGAAGGGACACATCACAGGTTTTCAAAAAGAGTAAATGTCTTTTGGGAACTTTAATGTTTTAAAATTTTACAATCTCATTGTTCTTAATTTTCCAGTGGACAAAGGCATTTTACTTCTTTATTTAAAACTTCTGTACTCTTGCCCACATCTAACCTGGGCAGTTCATGTTCTAGGTCATGATTTCTAGATATACTGATTTTGAACTTGACAAAGGAAAAAGGAAAGAAAATTAACTATAGTAGAAAAAGCATGGGTTTTGGATATAGGTCTGGGCTCAAGTCCAGGTACTTACTAGCTGTGTGAGTTTGGGCGAATTGCTTAGTTTCTGGGAACTCATCTATAAAATAGGGATAATTGATTCACATCAAAGAATTGTCTCAACGATTGAATATGATAAAAGTACCTAGTGTACTAGCAACTGTCTTACTCAATTAAAAGGATTTTTTTTTCCTAAATACACAGAAGCAGCTGCCATCTGTGATTTTCCCCAAATCCATTAAAATATAAAGAGCTCCAGTCTGGTCTGAGATTCTCTGTTTTAAAGATCACACTGTAGTTAAGGGATTGTGTTCAAGTCCTACCTCTATCTTTTCCTAGCTCTGTGACTGAGCATAAGTCCTTATCAGTAAGATGAAGTTAATGACGCATTAAGCTCATAAGATTGCTGGAAAGATTACAGGAGATATTGCATACAAACCTTCAGCTGAAGTGAGCTTCCCTATGTGTGTATTTTGGTGCACAATGCCAGAGTTTCTCTGGGCCAGGGGTTCACCTTTAGCTAGCATTAGCATCACCTGGAGGCCTTATTAAAACACATATTACTGGGCCCAACCCCCTGAATTTCTACTTTAGTAGGCCTGGTGAAGCCTGAAAATGTAAATTTCTAATAAGTTCCCAAGTAACGTCCAGGGACCACATTTTGAGAATTACTGCTCTAACGTCTATACTTAGAGGAGGAACTGGCAAATTGCTCTTCAGAGTGGTTATACCAACTTACACTCCATAATGTTTTCAAAACGTCATGCTGCTCTGATTTTCTATACAAAGAGTCAGGTCCAGAAGGCCCTATTAAAAAACTCCCATTTATCCGAAATGTATCCACCATCTCTAAACCATTCGGTACTGTCAACAAATTTTCCTCCTATTCTCGAAAACAGGGCGTAAATTGCCTTTTGTCAAATGCAGATAATTTCTGGCAAAATTAAGTGGCACAAAAAAGACACACTATGAGAAACTCTAAAATAAAATTTTATTAGAGAGCAAGGAAAGAGAGGAGAATGATGTGTATGTATCCCAAGGTATAGTTTATTCTCTTTTCATTAATTGTGAAAAGCAGTTTATAAAACATACTAGTATTTTATAAATCAGGTATAAGAACCTAAATTCTTTTACCTTTTTTCCCTATTTTTTTCCTAAGGGAATATTTATAACATACAAACCTCACATATTGTAAGTAAGCCACTTGATTCAATACCATCTCCTCCTCCCTTACATTATGAGGACTTAACAGAACTTAATTAAGCCTTTCAGCACTTGGGTGTGTTTAGTATTATTATCGCAATTATGTGCAGAGAGTAAAACGAAGGACCAGCCCAGGAATATGACTTGCCTAAGTCTGCATAGCAAGTTGATGGCAAAAGTCAGGGTAACACCCTATACTGAGCAAATCCAGCTCTAAGTATTCTGAATTATTCTCATGCACTGTTAGGGATCTGTTCCGGTTAACTTCTTATCTTGAAAGAGAAGTAAAAGAAATTTGAAGATCCTATAAAATCTCCTATATGTATTCCTTGAATAACTTCCTCAACCTTATACAGTCACCTCTATATCCATGGGTTCCTCACTCATGGATTCAATCAACTGCAAATGGAAAATATTCAGAAAAAAAAAAATTTCACAAAATTCCCAAAAGCAAAACTTGAATTTGCTGCACGCCAAGTATTACATTGAATCCATGTGAATGAGGTGATGTGTAGGCATTATACAGGTATTACAAGTCATTTAGAGATGATCTAAAATATGAGATACTTTCCAGATAGCCCTTGTATATGGGAGGGAGGATGTGCATAGGTTATATGTAAATACCACATCATTTTATGTCACAGACTTGAGTGTCCTAGGATTCTGGTATCCGACAGGGGGTGAGGAGGTCCTGAAACCAATCCCCCACGGATAGTGAAGGATGACTGTATTCTATACTGAATCATGGATCTAGGAGGGCAACCTTCTCATCTTACTGATGAGAAGACTGAGGCCAAGAAGTAGTGGCACACGGGACCAGAATCCAGTCCTCTGATCTGTCCAGTGCTCTTTCCACAACTCTGTAATGCCTCTCTATCTCCATATTCCCATTCTTCATTGCCATCCACCAGGTCCAGTCCTTCTTAATAATTCTTCACCCTCTCTTTTTCTGATGGCTTTTACAGACATTCAGCGAAATTAGAAGCTATTTTGAGATGCTAACCATTCAAAGATGCAAAGAAAAGAATAAGTTTGGGCAAAATTTCCTAGTTAACAAAATACCACTTGTTCTCCAAGAAAGTTGTTCTACTTAGGTTGTAAGAAAGTCTGTTCGCTATTTAATGTTAAAAGAGTGAAAATAAAAGCATCCTTACTCAAAGGATAAATGTCAATTCGGAGGACTCTGCTACTGGGCTGATCTGGTTCTTCAACGAAAGGTGAACTAGGAATTTGTCTCAGCAACACTGTTATTTGTTGTTCAGAATGAAAAGCCAGTGAACTCTTGGGACACGGCCAGAGAGGCCTGGGAAAAAAGAAAGTCCTCAGAGTTGTGAATAGCTGTTTGTATCTTATTGGGAATGCCCTGACCTGAACTACATAGATAACATTAGTACTACTGCCAGGGAGGAAAATCTTTACTGCACAGAGAAAGGGGCAATGCTTAAAGGGACTTTCAAAGGAAAGATTTGTGAATACCTTTCAAGACAGAAAAAAAGGGAAAGTCACATGTGGTCTCCTCTATAACACAGTCACAACGAGAGACTACTTGAATTGCAAAGAGTGAGTTTTAGTCACAAAGAACACAGCCCTACCTAGTGTTCAAATACTCAACCACCCACCAGAACTTTTCCATTCCAAATGACCAGGAGGTTTAACTCTTCTAAATAGTCGTTGCTTGAAGATGAAGAAGAACTGGTGAACATCAGAGCTGGATGAAACCTTATTCATTATGTACCTGTTGGATTGTGGGCTCTTTCAGGACAAGCAATGTGGTGTCTTATTTTTTTATTCCTTTGGCATACACAGAGAATAAACTTGGTTGTCTTTTGAATAACTAAATGAATGACTCAATCTTTGCATTTCAAAGGCTACAGGCCCAGACATTTGCTCATAGCAGGGCTGAGCCAAAACTAGGAAGCCAGGTTTTCTAACTCCTAGTTCTGGGATCTCTTATACCACTGGGATTTTCTATCCACGAAAAATCAATCAATAAAGCTACAATATGGTGATGGTTGCACAGCTCTGTGAATATACTAAAAATCATTCTGTTATATGCCTTAAATGGTTGAATTCTATGGTATGTAAATTGTATCTCATTAAAGCTGTTATAAAAAATAAAGCTACATTACTAGCAAATATATTGCAATGAATACATTAAAATAGAATCCTCTTAACAAGGTGGCAAAAATACCATTGCCTGGCAACGTGGATGCTTTTAAAATTCAAGCAAAACCACTATACACTAAAAACAATGTGAAATGCAAAAATCCAAAATTATGTTAAATTCATTAGGCAAATGACTATTACCTTAGGAGTTTCTTTGACTTAAAAAAGATTGGCCACTATGTTCTATTAAATATTTTAAATTCCACAGTTCTCTACTTGGAAAAGTATTAGTAAATGACTCAGAAACGTAAGGCTGTACTAGAAACAAAAAAAGGGTATCTCCTTAATTATGAGGCAAATTAACGGTAAAGTATGATAGAAATTTAATTTACACTCAACTTTTTCCAGAAATGCCCATTTTAAGCAAGATACTCCTTTACATATTCCTTTTGAAGACTTAAATTGCTAGTGATTGAGAAATTCTATTTCAATTTGCAAGATGCAAGACAATTTTGGAGCTTTAGACAATATGATTTAATGTAACTCTTTTTTTTTTTTTTTTTTTTTTTTTTTTTAAGACAGAGTCTTGCTCTGCCACCCCAGCTAGAGTGTAGTGGTATCACAGCTCACAGCAACTTCAAACTCCTGGGCTCAAGCAACCCTTCCAAATAGTCTCAGTTTCCCAAGTAGCTGGGACTACAGGCATGTTCTGCCACACCTGGCTAAATTTTTTTTTCTATATTTTGTGGAGACAGGGTCTTGCTCTTGCTCAGGCTGGCCTTGAACTCCTGACCTCAAGTGATCTTCCCACCTTGGCCTCCCAGAATGCTAGGATTATAGACATTGAGCCACCATGCCCAGCCTTAATGTAACTTCTTTTAAAATACATAAAGACAGAGAATTCATACGCATATTCTCAAAATTCTTTAAGACAGGCACCCATTTTTCTTGTCCAAAACGCTACCACTCTTTCTTTTCATCAGATTTATAAAAGTTGATTAATACTTGCTGCCACCTAGAGGTAAAAATAGTTTGTGATCATGATCAAGCAGTCTCTGGTTAACAGTGATTTCTACCAAGAGTGGGAGGGAGAGTTAATTTGCTCATTTATCGTATTCAATTTTTTTCCCATTTATATGTTCAACACTTTCAAATGAATTTTAAGATAGCCTAATTTTCTTGTGCTAGAAGCTTAATAAGCCTGAGGGATAATCATTGCTATCAACATTTTCTTCTTCAGGTTAGATGAGCAATGCAGAGTTTTGCATAGTATGAGTGTAGCTGTTACTACCTGTCTTGAATTAGTGTTTTTATTTTATAAGGATATTACGACATTTAGATAAAAGCTGAGGTCATTTCCAGTGCTTACATTCTGAGATTTCATGGCATTTAAGGTTTCTAAAGTCTATTTTTAATTTTGAAATATTCTAAGCATAAAAGATAACACAGAGAATACAACACTTTAACATTCAATCTCATTTTATCTCAAAATAACTGAGATAGCAAAGAGAGAGAAAAGGGGAAGATCATTTTCCGAGTGTCTACTAAGTGCCAGGCATTTCAGAACTCTTCTGAGACTCAGCAACAGATAACGTCCCAAAGCTCAGGTAGATTCAGTCAGTGGTGCAGGGTCACACAGTTAGGAAGTGTCAGAGCCGGGGCCCTAACCCTAGATCTGTTGGATTCTAAAACATCTGTGTTCTTTCCAGCATTACTACTGTTTCTAATTTTAAACACCTTTGTGGTATAGGCAGGGCATGTATTGTTATCCCCATTCTACAGATGAATTAACTGAGGCTCAGGAAGCTCAAACAAGTTGCCCAAGTTCATATAAACAGCTAATAAGTGACAGGAATAAATACGACCCAAGGCTTCTACTTCCATATTCATTACTCTTCCCATTAAGGTATATATTTTGTAAATAAAAAAAAAACCTTGGAAATAAAATATTTACAAATTTTCAATTGCATTTGTTTGCTCAATTATGAGCTTTACTAGTTATCCAGCCTAGACATGAGAAATTCATCTATATAGATATGAAATTATTTCACTAAGCCTGTTTCTAGACTTTCAAAAAACGTTTTTACTGAAGTCAAAATTACATACAGTGAAGTACACACATCTTAAGGGTAGAGTCTGATAAAGTTTTACATGTGCATATACCTGTGTAACCATTGCCCAAATCAAGCATTTCTACACATTTTAACGAGCAACACTATTAAATTTTAAGCCCAGGTACAAGGCAAAAGAATCTTGACAGCCCATGTATATCAATAAAGAGATTTTTATGACACAAATCAAGTGAGCTAAGATGATATAAATCTCTAATTTTTCCCCATAGCTGACTAGAAAAGGCCAAGCAACACACCACTGTTCAGGGAGTCACATGAGAACGATCCAATTACCCTCTTTTGGAGCTTGAGACCTTCTGACAGCACAATGAAAATGTTCCTTGTTGTGGGAAGTATGTGAGATTAGCAAGTGTGACCATTTAACACAGTTCCTAAACTATGCAAAGACGCTATCTCAGAAAATAGACCATTTATCTGAAAAAAAGGTGACATCTGCAAACACCTGTTAAAAGTTCAAGTCCCTTCCCGCTTTTTTTTCTTAACCTGTTTTCTGTTTGTTTTCTCCATGGAGAGCTGACTCCCTACAGACTCCTCTAGTAGTGTCCCAAATGATGTAAGAAGTAATGACAGGGTGTGGCCATTGGCTAGAGGGGTAAGAAGAGGGATTAGAGTGCCATTCCCCTTGTAATAACTGCCTGGTCCATTCACTTACTTGACAGTTCCTGAAAGCGTACTATGCACCAGGCATGTCCTAGACATCCCTGGGATACATCAGTAGGCAAACAGTGCCCCCGTGGCACTTATGTCCTAGGAGAGAATGTGATCTGGGTGGTGCTGAGAGAGGCTCCGCTGAAGCACTGGGCACCCCCTCTGCCACTCTCCCCAGCCCAAACGGATCAAGTCTGGGCCTGATCCAGTCAGGCAATTGAAGAATCGTTAGAGGACAGCAGTGGGGTGGGTATACAATGATCTGTCTTACTCCAAGCACTTCTGACAGTGAATATGTGGGTTTGTTTCTCTCACATCAACCAATTATCCAACTCTCCAGACACCAACTTGGTGTCCAACAATTAAATTAAATTCTGACACTACCTGGAGTTAGAGTCAGGTCCCAAGGTTAAGGGCTCAGTTCCACAGACCGCCCCACTTCAGACACCAAACCCAAGTCCAGGTCTCCTGTACTTCTGACCAATCAGCTATAAGCCAGGGATTCCCACACCCCTCTCCTCTGGTGTGATAATTTGCTAGAATGGCTCACAGGACTCAGGAAGGCACTTTACTTACATTTAGTGGTTTATTATAAAAGATACAACTCAGGAACCGCCAAATGGGAGAGATACATAGGGCAAGATATGGGGTAGGAGGAAGAGCATGGAGCTCCATGACCTCTATGGGCATACTGCCCTCCCAGCCCCTCGATATGTTCACCAACCCGGAAGCTCTCAGAACCCCTTTGTTTAGGGGTTTTTACAAAGGTCCCATCACCTACACACGACTGATTAAATCACTGGTGATTAGCTAAATCTCCCCCCTCCCCTTAAGGTGGCAGAGGAGGGAACCTGGAAGTTTCAACCTCTAATCACTTGGTTGGTTCCCAGGCAACCAGCACCCATCCTGAATCTATTTAAGGGCACATCAAGAGTCACCTTATTAGCATAAACCTAGGTATGGTAGAAGGAGACTTGTTGTGAATAACAAAAGACATTCTTCTTACCCCAATCACTAAGATATTGCTCGAGTTTTAAGAGCTCTAAGCAAGGAACCAGGGACAAAGACCAAATATACATTTCTTCTTATATCACAATATCACAGGGCAATATCTGGATATTGTTTGGCAATAAATTTTATAGGGAGTAAGAGGAGTCTGAAACTCATTTCTATTTCCTTGAGGTCCATCTCATTGCAATCCTAATGATCAAAGTAAAGTCTGGTTCAGAGAGGAGAGGCATCCCTAATTATGCAGCCTTTAAAACATTCACTCACCGGTTTTTGGAGTCGTCCAGCAATGTATAAGTTATTCCAGTTGAGGAGATCTTCAATCAGAATACTGGTGCTAATAACCCCATATTTGATAAGCTGGAAAAGAAATGAGCAGGAAAGAGTAAAATACCATGTTGATGCTTATGTAAGTACAAAATAAAATAGATCAAGTTCTTGACTAGAGTAGTACCTTGATATCCAAAGACATGCACAATAGCTTACCTTGTGAAAACACACATCTTAACCAAAATCTCTCAGAGATTTAGCGTCCAAGACTGATTTGGCCCCTAAGGTACGTGAGGTTACCACTATTTTAACTTAGGTCCATGCGATGTTAATGGTGGAATAGCTCTTAGATGCTATCTAGTATTGGTTCTCCATTAATTGGATATAAAAAACTGGTCCTTCCCCACAGATAGTTTGAGAAGCAGTAATTTAGTTCATGAATCCTCATTTGAGACGTAAAAAACCTGAGACCCAGAGAGAATAAACAACATGTCCAAGGTGGAACTTGTATTAACAAGGGTCAAAACTATGTCCCAGAATTTCAGTCTGGTTTTCCAACGTTCTTTTCGTTACAAAGTACAAGAAATTTTCTTTAATTAAAAGTTTTCACTGATACCCTTTACGAAGTGAATTTCTCTTCTGCTACTATTTCAATTCTTTTATAATTACAAAGCAACACACAAAAATAAAACTTCTTTATCAGTGTTAAACACATTGAATTATGGTCAAGTCCATTTTAAACATAATTTATACAAACCCTAAATGTGGCTTTCCCAGGTTACAAAATCCAATTTGTGTCAGCAGGTATATTATATCCACTTTGCTGAACTTCAGTATCCAAATAGCCTTCTCAGGCTGTCAATATCTAAAAAGTAGCTAAAACTTTCAATTAAAAAGTACAGTTCTTTAGCATATAATTATGCCCAAACATTGGTTACTGGAGCTTGTAATATTGTTTGAAAACTACTAATTAGAGATAGGCTCGGCGTAATATTAATTATGGAAAAGAACAAAGCTATGTCTTTCGCATGACTAACGTGGAAGTGGAAGGCTGTGCGGAATAACTACTTCCCTCCACTCTGCGGGCAGCGCTACAGAAAGCCCTTCTAGTGCAAACAAGTAACAGCTGGGAGGTAATGGAAACACCACTGGCCTGGAAGTCAGGGGACCTGTCATGAACTAGTTGTACAACCTTATGGAACCATGTCATTTCCTCTCTGAACCTTGGTTTCCTCATCTGCAAAATGCAGGTGGAGCAGGATTGGACCTCAAACAGCAAGGCAAATGTATGGCCCACAAGGTATGCAGATATCACCAATCAATCACAGCACTTAATCTCCAGCCAAGTCCAAATAGGTCTTTAAATCCTTCTCAAGTCAGTACTTCAACCTCCAACCCTTTGCTGCTGTCCCCAACCTTCTTGGCACTAGGGACTGGCTTCATGGAAGACAATTTTTCCATGGATGCAGTGGGGAAGTGGGGAAGTGGAGCTCAGATGGTGATTTGCTGCCCTGTTTTCCTAACAGGCAACTGACTGGCGTGGCTCGCTGGTGCGGGACAAGACGGCTTTAAAGTATGGTCCTTTGAATAGTAACATAAGCATCACCTTGGAGCTTGAAAAAAATGCAGAATCATCAAGTTGATTGAAGAAGGAAAAAAAACCAGAATCTCAGGTTCCATCCCAGACCAACTAAATTAGAATCTGCATTTCAACAAGATCCCAAGGTGGTTCCTAAGCCGGTCAAAGTCTGATTGTTCTAAGCAATCAGCAGCAGAGTTGGCACAGCAGGTGAAACCCATATGTCATCCCTAGCCCAGCTAATCTCCAGGAGGCATTTGATTTAGAACCCTCATTGGTCCTCCTAGGGTGGGGTCCTGTCTAGGTCTTGGCTGCCCTCTTAGAGACTGGGGTGCTTCATCTGAAAGACAGTTCAGCTGGGTTTCTGTTGTCAGACAACCCACCTGTGGGGATCCCTGCTACTTACCTGCTCCCCAACATCCCACTGTCAAATTCCACCCATCTGCTGGCACCAAGAGGTTCCTGTCTACCACTTGGCCCACAAGCTCCAAACCACCTATGACGCCCTCTTCACTTCCAACTTCTTGCTTTGGCTGTTCCTCCTTCTAGGTAAGATTAATCTCTACCCTGATCCTAAATTGGCCCCGCCTACTCCTTCCACTGACCAAACCAGTGGCTTCCAAAATGTGGTTCCCAGAGCAGCAGCTTCAAATGCAAATTCCCAAGCCCCACCCCAGATCTACTGAATCAACTCTGGGGTTGGGGCTTGGGAAGCAATCAGTGCGTACAACAGGCATGCATTCCAGAGGATTCTGATGCACCCTAAAACTTGAGAACCACATGGCCAAAGGCAAAAAACAAAATCAGTCACACCCAACCACCTTCTTACACTGCAATCACAGTCAAGGGGAGATGAGGACTCCAGTTCCTGCTCTGTCTCTGGGTTCAAGACATCCAGCAAGAGTGTGAAAATTTCCTCACTGCAAGAACATACACATTTAGCTGGTATTCTAATAACAAAGGTTAATAACCACCCACGTTAAGACAAAGGTCCGAAGTCACTTACCCTACTATCACACGTGATCAATGAATTGTAGTAAACTCCAGCACCATAGTTATTCTGGATGGATGTGATAATCTTGGGCCCCAAAAATTTTAGTAAGGAGTAGTGGCTCCTATTTTTCTTCAGGTTCTTTGTATGCCATGCCACAGGATCATCTACTGTGAACACAAAGTCCATCATGGCATTCTGTAAGGTGAAGAAAAGAGAATGGTTTCAGTACTAATGCCTAGAAAGGCAGCTAGATAGAGTAGAAAGCTCTAAAATACTAAGCTATTAATAGTCAGAAGACCTAGTGTTGTCATCAGAAACTTAAGCGAGACTCTGGAACCAATATGAGCTTTGTTTTCATCAACACAATAGTAGTAAATACTTACTTAACAAGTACCATTGTGCCAGCACTCTTCTAAACATTTTCTATATAATATATATAGTAACTCGTTTTATCCTCAAAACAGCCCTACAAGGTAGCTGATATTATCTCGATTTTATAGGAAAGGAAACCAAGGCACGGGGTAAGCTCTTTGCCCAAGGGACACAGAACTAGTGAGTGGCAGACCTAAGTCTAGCTCCGAAGTCTGTGTGCTAACTACTATACTACACTGCCTTTCAACTAAGTGTGGCTAATTGTGTTCCACTTTTCTTCCAGATCATATTAACACCATATGGTGTTAAGCTCTATAAAGTATTATATAAAGGGAAATAAGTTATTTTTACTCTTACCCATTCACCAACCACTCATTATCTATAATGAGCTCTGATAGGTCCTAGGGTAGAAGAGCTCAGAGCTTACTGGGGACAATAGACAAATTATTACTAAATTGACTTGACAGAAGAATGTAAAATGTACTAACTTCAATCGGAATGGGGGTTGGGTCAGAAGAACAGGAAAGAGAAATTCTAGAGATGACAAACGGAAGTCTTGAAGAACACAAGAGTTTAACAGGATTGGTGGAAATACTAGGGGAGGGAAGGGTAGGGAGTCATGTTACAGGAAATTGCTCCTGTTGATTCAAGAGCCAGGCACGTTCTGGGAGCTGCAGTTTGATATGACTAGGACATATTCATGTGGCAGGAGATGAAACCAGAGAGGAAGGCTGTTTGCCATGCTAGAAAATTTTCCTACAGAAAAGTTGATTGGAGTGAGGCGAGATTAAGGGTGGGGAAAATCAGATACAAAAACCACTGCAAGATTCCAGGTGAGAAATGAAAACATATTGACTAAGGCACTGAGGGCAGGGATTGCTTTGAGAGAGATTTAGGTGTTAGGATCTACAAGGCGTTAACTTGAATGTAGGGAATGACAGTGAGGGAAAGGGAAGGAAGGACCCTTTCTGGGAGGCAATTCCAGGTCTGTTCAAAGGAAAACCTTCATGGAAAAACAAAGAGGTAACTACCAGGAGGCCAAGGCCTGCTCTGTGTTTCCCACAGTGTGACTCACAAACCACTGTTGATATTTAAGAGTTGGGGCGAGGGAGACACAGAGAAATGTTTTTTAAAAAATGTGCGATTATGTTAATGTATATTTAAAAAATGACTAGCCTATAATAATGTATAATTTCTCATATGCTGCCAATTTAAAGAAAAATATTAATAGTAGTATAGGTCAGAAACAGGCAATCAAAGCAATAGTATAGACGGCCTCATCAGGAAGTGAACAGGCAAATTTTAAGAAGACAAATTACAGCCAAGTATCCAGAGTGGGAGGCCCTATTGCAATCTGCACCCTGAATTCTGCAAATCACAAGGAAAACTGTACTCTTACTGCTGTTGTAATCAGCCAACTCTCAAGAGTAACAATACCTACTTCCAAACAAACCCTTGTTAAATGGGCTAAGGATGGGGAAATATACTGGTTACCCACTAACTTTTGCTGTTACCTTCACTGCACCTGCCCTGGCCCTACAAACAGTCGGTCAGCTTCCTGAAGTCAGACGATCATTTTGTACTTTCTCCTACAGCTACAGACTTAGCGCTCAAACTTGGCTGCCCATTAGAATCACCTGGGTCAGTTTTAAAATTCCTGAAGCTCAGGCCTCATCTCAAACCAATTAAATCAGAGCTTTCATAGACAGAACCCAGCCATTGGTATTTTTTTAATTCCCCAGAAAATTCCAACGTTCAGCCAAGACTGAAAACATTGAACTAGAACCGGACAGCTATTTCTTTTCCATTCTTCCATCTAGTCTCTGCATCAGCTTTTCCCTCCGCCTGATTGCATCTCCTGCTCTAGGCCGAAGTGGACTCCCACTTTTCCTTCAAACCTCAGCTCACACTCTCTTTATGCAAGTAACACCTGCGTGCGGTTTGCACTTTGCTAGTTTGACACGTGCAGTGCACAGAGCGCACAGGCAGCTCTACGGCTCTGACGGACAGAAGGCCAAAGGGAACTTGTGAGAACTGGCAGATTCCCGGCGTGGGGTTCACCGGGGTTCACGGGGAGGGGCCGATCTGCAGGGCCAGGCTCACCTTCTGGTCTGAATTTGGCCCCGCCTGGCGGTACACCCCGGAGCCGTAGGCGAAAGCCAGGCTCAGCTCCTCGGGAAAGTGAGACAGGATCTTGCGGAAGGTCACCCCCGAGCTCTGCAGCGCCATGGGGCCGAGGCTGAGCCAGGGGACCCTGGGCGGAGCAGAGGAGAGGACAACCGGGCGGGGAACAAATACCGGGACAGGGACCCTAGGGTGGGCAAATGGAAGTCGGGGACCGGCCCGAGGAGGAGAAGGCTGAGTGAAGGGTGGGACTCCTAGGACTGGAGCGGCGTGCCACTCCGAAGCGAGGACAGAAGGCGCAGCAACGCGGCACTCAGGTAGGCGGTGGCCGTACCAGCTGGGAGTCCGCCCCTGGCCACGCCTCTCGCACGTACACGCGCTTCAAAGACGCAAGAGACGGCTCTCGCCTGCGCGTGGGGACGTGAGGGCTTCTCAGCGACCCCTGGTGGTCGGAGGAGTGCGCTGCAGGCTGGAAGCCTGGAACTGCGACTTGGGCAAATGCGCCCGGGAGAGTGGCAGCTAACTATGCTCTTCAGTCTCAAGAAGCCTTCTTTGTAATTCTCTCCCCAAACCACGTCTTAAGAAATGAGTATAAAACCATGCGTGTGTATTACACAAGATTTTTATAATGAGGCAAAACTCACATAGAATTAACCATTCTGAAATGTACATTCAGTGGCCTTTAGTACGTTCACAGTGTTGTGCAACCATCATCTCTATCTAGTTTCAAAATTGCAGATTTTGAAGATTTAGAAAAATACAAAATTAAAATCATGCCTCATTCTACCATGTGGAGGTTTTCACGGTCAAGATTTGGCTGTGATTTCTTCCTATTAAAACCCTTTTCCAACACAATGATGGATGTGAGAGTCTCCATGAATGGTAAAGGACTGCACAAATGTTCTCTCATATTTGTATTTAATTTTTTGCTTCAGGGATTTGTCTCACAAAGGGCTGTGAACTAAAACAAAATCCCAAGCCCCTCGCTGATTAAATGGATCCCCTCTTGGCCAAGGGGACCCCAGAAAAACCTTAAAACTGAGTTACTGGCCATGAAGGGAAGGGAGGTTGCAAACACTTTGTTATGCACCCTGCTTTAAAGTTTAGACAAGAAATTATTAACAGGACCCAGGCCATCCAGAGTAAAGGGTAAATCCCCTGTAGGCCATCAATTTGCTTAACAGATCACTTGAGTCTGTATATTATGCTTGTCTCTGACTAACAGACTTCCTTATCTTAAAATGTTTCAAGCCTTTAGACGAAGCTTTATTTCTTTAACCAATCACAAAGCAAAGAATCTTTAAACCCACCTATAACCTGTAAGCCCCCTTCCTTTTCAAGATGTTCTGCCCTTTTGGGCCAAACCAATGTACACCTTCCATGTATTGATTTATGATTTTACCCACAATTCCTATCTCTCTAAAATGTATAAAATCACACTGTACCCAACCACCTCAGGACTACTTGCTCAAGACTTCTTGAGCATGGCTTACTGGGTCATGGTCACACGTATTTGGCTCAGAATAAACCTCTTTAAATTATTTTACAGAGTTTGGAGTATCTTTTATCCTGTTAATGGTGTGCTTTAAATGCAGTTTCTGGAGGAAACGGGACCCTAGGCATAGGAAAGATTTTACAGTTTTCCTCTTTATGTATAACTAGAGAAACTGTTGAACATCACTCAGCTGTTTGGGATGTAGTTTAACTACCAGGACAGAGACTTTTCAGCTACTCTTTCCGTCTTCCCCAACGTATACTGTCTCTCAAAAATAACAGAAGTAGTAATAGCTAACATTTAGGTAACGCTGGCATATTTTCACATGCATTTCTCCTTGAGTCCCCTCTAGTGTCCTGTGGGAGGAGGTTATCACCTCCATTTTGCAGATGAAGAAGCTCAGAGAGTTAAAGCAATGTGCTTAGGATCACATCAGCCTGTAGCAAAACTAGACCTAAAACCCAGGTCTGGCTCCACCTCTGGGGTTCCTTCTACAATACTACTCTGTCCTTGAAGGGTTATGAGCAGGGACCTATCTGGATCAACTATTAGCTTGAATTGGTATAGGGAGACCAATCAGGAAGCTGTTACCATTGAAGATAATAAAAATATTTTACCTCCAAATATGTTTCTTTGACGTATTTTGAGATGGCTGTCAGGGAGTCGTCAAACAAAAGTAACCCTGCAAAACTGCTTTTGTGGGAAAAATTTGCATCTGTGGAGAATCAGCATCAGACAGGCCTTCCCTTGTCCAGATTGAGGAAAGATTACCTGAGAGTCTGACACTTGCAAAGGTCTGAAAGAAACATTTACCATCTATTCTCTCTGAGGGCTGCTACCTCTGAGGTTTCATCTATCTAACAAGACCACCTTTGCTAGCCAGGCCTCCTCTTCTCTCCCTTTCATAACCTGTTTTGCCATAATCTAAGCCTCCATTGTTTCCATAACCTCAAGATGGTATGTAAGCTTCTGCACCCCATTGGGGGGTTGGTTAATCAGTCTGTGATGCTCCCTATGTATACATTAATAAATTTTGTATGCCAGGAGTTCCCAACCTATGGCGAGTTGTAGAATTATTTCATTATATATTACAATGTAATAATAATAGAAATAAAGTGCACAATAAACGTAATGTGTTTGAATCATCCTGAAACCATCCCCCACCCTCCCCAGTCCATAAAAACATTATCTTCCATTAAAACAGTCCCTGGTGCCAAAAAGGTTGGGGACTGCTGTCATATGCCTTTTATCTAAGTAATCTGCCTTTTGTGAGTTGATTTTTCAGCAAACCTTCAGAGGATGAAGGGGAAGGAGAAGTTTTTCCCTTGGCCCCTATATTACCGGCCACCAGGTTCCTAGCCCTCTGCCCAGGAGGAAGCCAATACACTGAGACAGCAGGGGTTGCAGCAGAGAAAGAGTTTAATATTGCAAGGCACCAAGCAAGGAGATAGGAGGATATTTCTTAAATCCATCTCCCCCAGAATTTTGGGGCTAAACCTTTTAAAGGTAATTTGGTGGACAAAGCGCTAGGGAACTGGGTCTGCTGATTGGCTGGGGATGAACTCACAGGGTTGGAAAGCAGAAATTTTCTTCTTGTGCTGAGACAGTTCCTAGGTAGGAGGGTCACAGTGTTAGAACCCTACCAGGTTCATTGCCTGTTGCTCAAGAGGAAGCCACTCAGACAGCAGGTGTTACAGCAGAGAAAGAATTTAATATCACAGGTACCATGCAAGAAGACAGGAGGAAATTCTCCAATCCATCTCCCCAAGAATTGGGAGGAAGGGTTTTTAAAATAGTTTGGCGGGCAAAGGGCTAGGCAATCGGGTCTGCTGATTGGCTGGGTTCAGGTGGAATCATAGGGTGTAGAAATTGTCTTCCTCTGCTGAGTCAGTTCCTGGGCGGGGGTTGCAAGACCGGTCGAGTCAGTTCCTTGGGATGGTCCACTGGTCTGGGTGGTCAGCTGATCTACTGGAATGCAGGGCCTGGAAGATACCTCAAAAACTAGCCTTATTTTTCACAAGGGTGATGTTATCTGTGGGGGCAATGAAGAAAGCTAAGGCTCTTTATGACCGTCAGCTGTATGACTCCTGAGTAGTAAGCAACTATAGGAAAGCAAGCTGGGAACAATGGCTGGTTATACATATATTTTAACTACACCTATACCTTTGCAGAGTTCAGGCCATGCCACAGTTCCCACTTTGTGGTCCTTTGTTAATTTTATAAAGTATGGATTCAACAGGACTTGTTGAGTCAGTTTCCACACATGGCCACTGGTCTGGATGGCAACAGTTGGTCCTCCTGAATGCAGAGTCTGGAAGATACCTCAAAGACCAGTCTTACGTTTTACAATAGTGATGTTATCCATAGAAGTGACTGGTAAGTCACGAATCTTACACTACTCTTACACTAAGGATGTGTGACTGTTAAGCAGTAAGCAATGACAGGAAGGCGAGCTATGAAACAATTGCTGGTTAACTTTTAGCTATGTCTATACTTTGGTAGAAATCAGACTTTTACCATAGTTCTTGCCTATGACCTTACATTACTTTAATATGGGTGATTTCACCTACATCATAGTTCCACCATGAACTGAAAATGGCCAGGCCTAGGTGTTAGAAGCAGGGATGGAATTAATTCAATTGGAAAAAATGATTATTTGAATTCACACTCTGGGCCCGGCACTGAGGTAGGTGCTGAGGATTTTGAGATGAATAAATCTGAGCTGCTGACTAGGCGTGGTGGCTCACACCTTTAATCCTAGTACTCTGGGAGGCCAAGGTGGGCGGATCGTTCGAGCTCAGGAGTTCGAGACCAGCCTGAGCAAGAGCAAGACCCCGTCTCTACTGAAAAATAAAAAGAAATTAGTCAGACAATTAAAAATATGTAGAAAAAATTAGCTGGGCATGGTGGTACATGCCTGTTGTCCCAGCTACTTGGGAGGCTGAGGCAGGAGGATCGCTTGAGCCCAGGAGTTTGAGGTTGCCGTCAGCTGGGCTGACGCCATGGCACTCACTCTAGCCCCGGCAACAGAGAGAGACTCTGCCACAAAAAAAAAAAAAAAAAAAAAAAAAAAAATCTGAGCTGCTGCCTTGCAGGGGTTCAGAGTCTACTACGAAGGAGAGGAGACAGACAAGCAAATCGGAATATAATGTACAGTAATGAAGCTGGTGACCCAGCACTGTGAGGGAATATAATGTCCCCGCAATGAAGGAATATTAATCAGTTCTGGGTGTTCAGGAGCTTTCACAGTGAGGGCATCTGAGCCAGGCCTCAAAGGATCCTTAAAGGACAGGTAGGAGTTTATCAGGCAGAAAGAAGATAGATGGGAGAGATTCTACCAAGAAAGGATTGATAGGACTTGGTGATAATAATTAATAATAGTAATAGATGTCATTTATTAAGTACTTACTATGCCCAAGCACTTGTTATACTTACCTCTTTTCATCATTTCGGAGACCCTCTGAGGCAGGTTTTATAAGATTATCATATTTTTCACATGGGGAAACAGAGGTCCTGAAAACAGAAGTAAAATTTCCAAAGTCACACAGGAGAGTGGTGAAGCCAGGATTTGAGGCCAAGGTCTCTCCCCCTGTGTTTGAGTGCCTTCTAAAATGGCTCGTGCAGTGAGAGAAGGAAACGAGAAGCAAGCTGCTTCCTCACTCTCCGCGAAGGTTCAGGAGGGCAGCAGCGTCCGGGGAACAGCCATGAGGTCGGAGTAAGGGCAGCAGAAGAGAGCGCGGTGCGAGCACAGTCATTTTGGTTCATTCTGACTATTGCTCGCTCTTGCTAGAATCTGAAGGA